ACTCTACCCATTTGTTTCTGCCTCCACCGGGGATCTAACCCGGACCCTTAGAACTACGACCCCAGAGCGCTGTCCACTCAGCCGTGAGGCGAGATATATATGTGTGTGTGTGTGTGTGTGTGTGTGTGTGTGTGTGCGTGCGCGCGCGTGAGTGGCGTTGATTGATTGCGTGAGTGAGTGAGCCAACATTGACAGCTCCGGGGACACGACGGGCGTCAGGTTGTGGCGGTGTTAAACACATCCGCACGCCACTTGACCAACACCATTGGCACCACTGGCACCACTGGTTACCACTGGCACCACTGGTTACCACTGGCACCATTGGCACCACTGGCACCATTGGCACCACTGGCACCACTGGTTACCACTTATACCACCTACTGCCAGGTCACGACACAACATTCACCGCCACTTGGACAAAGTGAAGGTACAAAGGAACCTTTTCACCGTTGTGGAGGTACAAAAGAACCTTTTCACCGTTGTGGAGGTACAAAGGAACCTTTTCACCGTTGTGGAGGTACAAAGGAACCTTTTCACCGTTGTGGAGGTACAAAGGAACCTTTTCACCGTTTTGAAAAGACATGACACCGCTTAGTTCATTTGTTATTGGCCCTATACCCATCCTGTGAGCGGTAGAGGAAAAGGTTCATTTATTTCCACTTATACAGCACTGGATGACACTTAACCTCATGAGTCATTGAGCACACCACGTACATGAGACCTGTCCTAGAGTATGCAACTCCGGCATGAAGTTCCCGCCTCCAAAAGCAACGTGAAAAGATGCAAGAACTAGTGAGACGAGAGATAACAAGAGACATGATAGAGACATATAAAATACAAATACTTAGAATTGACAGTGTGGAAAATGAGTAAATGTTTACAATGAATAACAATAGAAGTTGATAGCGAGGATGGAAGGTAGACACAGATGGACCATAGGAATATTAAATACTTGTTAGTGCGAGTTATGTAATGTGAAAATAGTATGAACTAGAAAATGGGGAAGTAGAAGCCAACTCTGTATGTAGTTTAGGGAAGGAGGGTTCCAAGAGCTGTAGCCCGACCCCAGTCAGCACCAGTAGGGAGGGGATGAGGCCATCTCTTAGGCACCGTCAGCCTACACGCATCCCTATGGTGTGGTCAGTCGTTGTTTAATGTTGTTTATGTTTCAGCTACTGGGAACAACAAGTTCCAAGTAGCACGGGCTATGGTGAGCCCGTAACTTACCTGGCACAGGAGCGGTGCAAGTAGCACGGGCTATGGTGAGCCCGTAACTTACCTGGCACAGGAGCGGTGCAAGTAGCACGGGCTATGGTGAGCCCGTAACTTACCTGGCACAGGAGCGGTGCAAGTAGCACTGGCTATGGTGAGCCCGTAGTGGACTTACCTGGCACAGGAGTGGGGCAAGTAGCACGGGCTATGGTGAGCCCGTAGTGAACTTTCCTGGCACAGGAGCGGGGCTGTAACTGTGTGTGTGATCAGTCCTTCACTTCCTGTTTTATCCCGTCCTCTCTCTCATGCACCTTTATCCCAGGTATTGGGGCTTAGACGAAGGTATATTTAGTACAGTAAGTGCGGCAGTGCTCTTCGGACGAGTTACATCCCCGCTCCTGTGCCAGGTAGGTCCACTACGGGCTCACCATAGCCCGTGCTACTTTGGAACTTTGGTTCTAAGTAGCTGAATCTAAAACAACAACAACGGCAGTGCTCGGGGTGGCCTGATGCTGCAGGTGGCGTCACTGGCGTGGGTGCTGCTGCTGCAAGTACTACTGGCGCCAAAGGTGCTGGTGAGGTACCGCTGTAAATGTGTTATCTTGTGTTTCGTAAACTCCTTCCTCGTCCTCCTGGACCTTGCTCCTCAGTGATCAACTAAGCTGTGGACGTTGACGTTTGTTGGCGGGCTCCGCTCTCTGTGGCGTAGCCGGCATCAGGTTGCAGTTATTAGGCATCATTATCCTCCCTTTGCTCTCACCTGTCGCACACTTGGTGTCCCACAGGTGGGTACAGGTGTAGCTCATTCCTTCCAAGGTAACTGGTGGTTATCCTTCCTCGGAGTACACCATGCAGGCGGGTGTTTACACTCTTTTCTGACTCTTGCTTGCTTCCTCCTGTGTAGAATTTCCAGTTATTTTTTGGTGGTCTGGCCTGGGGACGGTTTCCTGGTGGTCGCCTGGTCTGTGATGCTGTGTGTCTTCAGAGTGATTGATGAAGATTAAGCCACCCAGAAGGTGGCACGGGCATGAATAGCCCGTAAGTGGTGGCCCTTTTTGAGCTATTGCCAGTATCAAGAGCTGATACTGGAGATCTGTGGAGGTGCGACTGCACCCTGCGTGACGGGAGATGTCTCCCGTGTGTCTTCGTTGTTGTTGTTGTTATAGATTCAGCTACTCGGAACAAGTTCTAAGTAGCACGGGCTATGGTGAGCCGGGCTACCTGGCACAGGAGCGGGGCAAGTAGCACGGGCTATGGTGAGCCCGTAGCTTACCTGGCACAGGAGCGG